TTTTTAATAGTTAATACTTTGCGTGACAAAAATTTCAGCTTGCAACTCAATTACATATAATGGAAAGGTGAGCCATAATATGGGCAAAGGCGGTCTTATCGCTGCAAGCGATCTCTTCCAGACAACCTTCGCGGTATAGGTAAGCTAAACGGAAAAGAAGATGTAGTAAGCCAGCAGAGTCGATAAGAAATGTAAATATGTAATTAATATAATATTATAAATGTTGAGGATAGGTTACCAATTGTTTTTTTTTAAATCAATTACAAATTTTCGTTGATTAAATGGTCTCTTATAAAATGGGCCATTCAGTTTCCATGGGGTTATACAGATATTTTTTGTCCTTGTGCCAAAAACTATAACGACGAAATTAACGTAATTAAATATCAGACAATCATGAGATATTACGGTAAAATCATTTGTGTAATAATATCTATTCTATTACCTCATACCCAGCGTTATCAGTGTAAATAAATTTTATCTTTAAATATATTTCTTACACGGGTAAGGATAATTTGTTTAATCTTTGTGTTATACCGAGATTACTCAAAAATTTCGATCTAAAATTCATATCTATCCACTAAAATATTAGATTATTTTTGCCTTAATGCTGCAATTACATTTGGTCGCTAACCCGTATTCGGGTGCACGAAAGACGTTACTCGAATTCGGGCACCCGAAGCAATATTTACACTGGAACGGGCTGGAAGACTGTCGGGTAAACAAAAGGAAATCTACCCATATACGGGCGTACTCCACTCGGTTTATTTACACTTAGGCCCGTATTATAGAAAGATTCTCAGTGATCGATCTAGTCTTGAGTATAGTTAGAAAGGTATGTCGCTATATATAGCACATAGCGACATCCCTTTCTATACCACAAGGCATATCCGCACAAATATAAAATAACACCCGATGATTGTTGGCCATGTGATAACCACACTAAACAGGACATCTCACTCATCCTAAAAGACTGCCCTATATCCCACTCCACCAGATCTGAGTATGAAAATTACTGTGGACTATATAAAATCCAACCATACAATGTAATGGAAACAATAAAGAGTGAAACAGCCACTTGCAAATTCGTCAAGCATGTCGACACAATAGTGTCACAACTTATGTGCGTAAATGGTACATAACTACCACATCGACCAAAAGTATAAACACATAGCGGCGGCTTTGGATCTGTATCCAATTGCAGAACCAAAATCGACCATAAACACAATATATATATATTTGCTCCCTAATCAACATACGGAGTACAGTATATATAACATTACACATAAAAAAAAAATGTGTGTGTCAGCTCCGACGCACGACTGGAGTTTACTCCTTTAGTTCGATAGTCTAACAAATTAACAAATTAATTAAAATAATATACATATATAAATATATATTTATTCATTTCATATACATTTATTATAACTAATTGACGAAATATTTTACATTAAACTTTTTACAATAGTCAATTTCAGATGTGCATAAATATATCATTAGGAATGTTGATAAATTATGTAATTATTATTATCAGACTATTATCATTTTTTTAAATATTAATGAAATCAACTTTGTCTGCATTATTAATTACAGTGACAAGTGGTTTATGGTAACTAAAATAAGACACATGGACGTTCGTAGATACGTGGTTCAAGAATCTTGAAAATACCGCATCAATGGTTGTACCATACCTCGTTGTCCCCATTGCTCTATCAGAAACAATATCTAAATTCAGTTCAGATTTTAAAATTTTTATTATTGTCAATCCGTCTTGTTTGTTTGTCAAAGTTGCGCGACATAGGATGCGCACCAAAAACGTAACGAGGTCATTCATCGATAGATTTTACTCCTCACATTTTTCTCATACCGGGCCCCTTATATATGCAAATCGATTCTTAAGACATCCCTTTCTAACTGTACTCAAGTAAAGATCAACACTTAGTTCCCATTCTGTAATACGGGTCTTAGTCGTTTATCCGAATTCCATTGGCACTCGTATTCGGGCTAGCGACCAACTGTAATCGCGCCATAAAGTCCAAATAGGTAAATATGTTAACACCTTTACTAGTACCTAATTTTCATTTTTGATGTGTAAAATCTTTCCTCCTCTCGCTTTCCTGCAATTTTTGGAAGAGATTTCGTGAAGTGGGACGGAAGTGTGTAACAGGAAGTCGCGAAAGCGCGCGCTATTTGATTTGATTTTAAAACATAATGTTCAAATGGCTTATTCCTTTTGTAGTAGGTTTTTTTTACTAATATGAGGTTTCAAATGTTACACAGCATAGGCGACTACTGTAAGGCTCGCTCGTTTTTTTTTGACATTCGTTTATTAGTTTCCCTAATTAAATAGGTTTAGCTCTGCGGCATGATGACTTTTCAACGGTCCGCGCGTGACTGTGAACCAAGAAGTGCTTGAGTGGTGTTCAAGCACTTCTTGATAGGGACACATTTTGAGCTCACGTGGTGTATCTAGGGTATTTAATATCGTTGAAGGTGACAGACAGAAAAGAAGTTTGTAAGACAGGGCGTGGACATCACATCGCCCTTTTACTCACACGAAATGTATAGAAGCGTCGTGACCGCACCGTCTTTTCTTTCTGTATAAGTATTTTGTGTCGTGACGTAGCTTCTACACATTTAATATGAAAAAGACGAGGAAGAGACGTATATCCATGCCCTTTCTGTGTCCCGCACCTTACTGTTACTAACTTAAATCATTTCCGTGAAGAGAGTATAATGTAGGTAACGCCCCAATCACTGTCACTTGCATCGTCAGATGGAGCCCACGGTGGAGGTGGTGACGTCACCCAATCCCAGTACCATAAGATTAATAAGCGTTTACCACGCTTACTTTGGGGCTAGTTGGTGTGAGTTTAATGTCTCCGCCCCCTCAGGTTCGAGTAGTCTAGAAGCTCCAGACGGAGAGGAGACTCCCCTCGTGGAAAGATGCCATCCGCCTGGAATACCTCTAGAGGCACTCAGAAATTCTCGGCTTGAGGGCCCTTAGGATCTCGCCATCCCCAAACCCGGTGACGCTGTAAAGGTCATCTGTGACCAACAGCATACACACTCAAAAAAACAAATGTCTCTGTGGCGGCGACATTTACATGCCCCACATATAATCAATCAATTCCTTCTTGGAAATAGTCACTCACCTCCTCAAAGATGGCGCTACCGGCGCTGCGCTTACAACGTATGGAAGCCTAAATCGCGCAAGGAAAATTCGGAAGCTAACTCTCTATATATGCGATGCCGGACCAACATCAGTCGGGCCGCGGCCCCCGAGCTACCATCATTCAGCTCGGAGGAAGATCTTCCCCTTTGGCCTTCCTAAATCTCTTTCACGTCTGCGCGACGAACCTTTAACTACTTAATGCAAAATTAGCGTCATTTTTTTTTGGAATTACAGGCGTGGTTTTACCTATACTCCCTCACATGCCCACACAAATTGATCGTCCTCCATAACACCTTTGATGTATGTCGAAATACTACGGTCACGCTATCGTCTAGCGTCTATCGTCCGTCACGCAGCTCGATAGTTCCTTTCGAACCGCTGAACCGCTAATGACTTCCTACACCTGAAGCTTCGTGGCGATAGAGACAGGTGTGGGAGAGACATGAGACATATTTATGTTTTTATTTGTTTTTAAGCATTTAACTGCTAGATGTTTAAATCTAAAGAAAAGTTATCTAGAAAAAAATCCAATCGCGGACCAGGCAGCGGACGCGGACGGGAGAATATAATTTATTAAAACATATGTGATTTGCACTTGTATGAAACTCAAACACGTATTCCGAATATACAAACTAGAAACATGTGGATAAATATTATAAATAATAACTGTTACTTTATTACAAAAAATAAAGATGTGGTTTTTGGTTCTACTACACCAATGGTCAAGAGATGGCGCTGTAGTCTCCTGAATCGCGCTTTGGTTCCGTTGTTCCAGATTAATAAATACTTTTGATAGGCCTTCACAATGCAGTCGTTAGCACCCACTAAATAGAGATTCTATTTCTATTTTGTTGGTAGATTTTCTTAATGTGCGGTAAACACAAAAGTAATAGCATGAAGGTGGTCGCTAAAGCGACCAACTTCATGCTGTTAAAATTTTGTGTTACAGTGATGCGCGCGCATCTTAAAATTTCACTGTCATCATTTTTTCATAACGCGCCAAAAGAAGTAGAACTTCAATAAATAAAAAAAAATGGATGCGTGTAACTTATGTACGCGCGTGAGAAGTTATACTTCTTTAGCATCATTAAAATATTTTTTAATTGCATGCAAATAATTAATAATTACAATAAAATAATAAGAGGACTGGAAAAGGATAGTTAACACAGTCAATTAAGTTCAGTTTTAACTTGAAAAATTAAAAAGTAAGTAACTAAAACACGTTGTGTTCTTGACCTTCACAAGTGCTTGTAACAGCCTAGACTGAATAAATTTCATTTCATTTCATTTCATTTCATTTCAAATCATTTCATTTCATTTCACATCATTTCATTTCATTTCATTTCATTTCAATGTTCCGTTCAAATCTGCCCTGTTTGCTTTGTTCAAATCTGCCCCACGGTCACTTGGAAAATAAAATATTACAAATAACGCGCCCGCGGCTAACTTCATTATGTTAAAATTTTGTGTTACAGTGATGAAAATTTCACTCTCATAATTTTTTCATAACGCGGCTAAAGAAGTATAACTTCAAAAAACATAACTATAATTGCTATTTCTTCTTTCAAATGCTTAATACTTGAAAAAGTATTCATTTGACATTGTGGGCTACCTACAATGCGAAGAGATGGACCTTGCAGCTTAAGGCTAGGAAAATTTCCACGCGGCCATCAGGGCCGTGGTAGCATTATTGGTCAGTGCATTCGCCCGGATTGCGAAGGGTGCGGGTTCGAGTCCCGTCCGCTGCCTGGTTCGCGTGGTTTTTTTTTCTAGATAAATTTTCATGAGACATATTTATTGATAGTGACTGCACGTTTGGTTGCGTCAGATGGAGCCCACGGTGGAGGTGGTGACGTCACCGGTGACGTTGGGTGAGGGCCCGCACTGGGACTCCGACGAGCAGGCGCTATACTTCGTGAGCATCTTCGACTGCACCATAAATAAATACGTACCGGCTACTGGCAAACACACCAAGGCCAAACTAGGTAAGCTTGCACATTGATTCTATTCGTTCACAGGCAAGAATAAAGAGCTCGATGGCGATCGTGGAAGTTGGGCAACGTTCGCAAGGGCTGGTCATTGGATGGGTGACCAAAAACTTATCTCCAGCTTCTCCGTGCTTAAGAAGGCATATTAAGCATTGGTTACATAAAAAGTGCTTTCTTTTCTGTGTTCTTAAGAGCCCTATTTCAAATCTGCACTCTGCGAGAATGGGTATTTGAAACGTTCCCGACAGCTCATTGAAGGTCACGGTTTACAATACTGTATTGAACCTACGACCAAGTGATTTTGATACTTTTTTCCAAGTTTTGTATATTTTTTAGTATTTCTATGTAGTAATTCGTTATTGCTATACCCGCACATTTTTAGAGTGCCATGGTTCTCATAGGTGAATAAACAGATTACATGAAGATGATACCATAAATAAAACAGATGATATTTGTTCAAAACAAAATTTATTTTTTACTTTTTTCGTTTTAGATTAAAATAAAAGATTAGATATATATTATTATTTATATATTATTATTATGTTTCATTATTTACATGACAGTATAAAACACCCTAAGTCAGAACTACCTATTTGCCAAATTTCAATCAAATCGATCTAATGGTTTTGGTGTGAAAAAGCAACAGTCATGAGCTTATTTCAGATTCATCATATTATTACCTGCCCGCTAAGAGAATGCGTTCTTGACATTTGTCAGTTAGTCTTATCATAACGGTATATTACTCTTAGCCATCGCGGTAGCCTGCTATGAGGTGGCCAATAGGAATACCCTGTTACGAGTAACTCACAGATGTCAGAAATGTACTTTCTAAGAAATAAAACATTTTTCTTGTAACGAATCAAACTCTTAACTCAATATCATTTATTCAGTCTAGGCTGTTACAAGCATTTGTGAATGACGAAGTGCTATGCCACCGGTTCGCAAATCTACGGCGGGAGACCTTGTACTGAGAAGAACCGGCAAGAAACTCAGCAAGGGCTCTTTTTCTCCCTACTATTATATTCAAAGCCGTCAAATTGAAAAATTACTTCAATATGAGATAATTCATGAAGTCATTTTCTGTTACAAACACAAATAAAATATATAAAAAAATACTAACACTTTAAAATTACTTATTTAATACTTTAAGAACGCCGTATCCTACATTTAAGACATAATAAAAAAGTACGATTACAGTCAAATATAACGATATCATTATCAGCCGACGGACGTCCACTGCTGGACATGGCCTCCTCAAGGGATTTCCATATGGACCGATCCTGCACTCTCCGCATCCAGTAGGTCCCCCTGACTCGCTTGATGTCGTCAGCCCACCTCGTGTGGGGTCTACCGACACTGCGCTTCCCGGTTCGAGGTCGCCATTGAAGCACCTTGGGACCCCAACATTCATCGGTTCGCCGAACTGTGTCCCGCCCATTGCCACTTCAGCTTGGCGATCCATTGAGCTATGTCAGTTGTTCTAGTTCTTCTGGCGATATAAATAATAATATAACAATAAATAGTATTTAATGTAGCAAGAGCAGATCCATCTCCGCTGGCAGCACCCGTTAACCAGCATGACGCATGAACCAACCATCGCTTCGTTCAACCATGTTTTAAGGAACGTACCGATCGGCCTCACACGACACCGCCGAAGAGACTTTTAAGAGAGCATGACTACTCCTAATTACAAATGGATACTAGATTGCAAATAGAAAAAATAATAATAATAAGTACCTGTGTACATTATAACAAAAAACACAACTGCAGGACATATGCATGTGATTACCTATAAACTATTACATCTTTAATAGAAAAATAATATGTAATTGTTTACCTACATTTGATTGCTGTGTCAAAACTCAATTAATCAAATTAATTATCATGACAATAATACAGTAGTGATAATGTCATATTTTCTTTATCCATCGGAAATAATAATGTTTTCTTGGCAGAGAAGTTATTCATTCTGAAACAGTGACATTATAAATAATTAGTGCTGAATAGTTAAATGATATATCTATATTTGTATCTTTTACAGTTTGACTGGGCTGCTATGGTTCCAAATTAGGTATTCCTATCTTCAAAATAATATATATTACAATACAAAAACAAAGTTTCATCAAAATCCGTTTAGTAGTTTTTGCGTTTCAGAAGACAATTAAAAAAAATATCAATGCAAAATTGGCCCGTTTACAGTTATATTATATGTTAATATTATATATGTATGGTATGGTACATGAAGGAAAGAAGTACCTTGCTTTTTTTGCATTTCTTAATGTAGATGTATATCTTAACTTTCTTACACAACTATACTTAGGGGTTTTTCGACACATGCTGAAAATAATTAAATAAACATTAATATTAAAAGAATAATTGAACACAATGATATGTAGATTCCATATAAAACAAACACTTAAAAGAATTATACTTACCTGATCAAAACTTGTTGGTCGCACTATACTCTGACGCTCAAACGATTATGGCGCGAAAAATTGTGAAAAAATTTGACACAGGTCCGTCGGTGAGGAGCGCTCGCGCAGTACTGAGTTTGGACGACCGGCGCATCGCATTTTGTAGTAATTTTGCAGTTGTATTTATCGTATTGATTGAAATAAGTGAATAAATTCATACTTTAAAATTATAAAATCTTTATTCCTCATGAAGTAACAATTGTTCTGGTATAAATTTTGCTTAGTAATATTATCGCAAATAGGAGTAAATCGCAATTAAGTTTAAGCGATTTTCGAAGATTTTTAGGTTTAGAATAAGATTTTTTTCTATATTAAATCAAGGATATTTCAAAATTCTAAGGCCGCTACGAACTATACGACTATAAAGGAGATAACACTCTCATTTTATTATTTAATTTGCTTAGAACAGTAGTTCAATCGAGGAGCTCAAAAAAGTGCCTTCGCGCATTTTATGAAAATCTTTCTCTGAAATTTTGAGTTTAATTAAAAAGTTAAGCAAAATTTACAAAAAGGGAGGCCGCTACGAACTAGGCCAATAGTTATTCTGCACTATTCAATAGGTCAAAATTGTTAATGTATATTTGTTTCTGAGATCAAGAACGCCAATTTATGCAAAAATCACAGTCGAGATGTAATATGCCTCTTAAATTCATTTGATAGACCAACGTCATGTTTCTGAAATGCTACCGTTTAAATTGCTGAAAAATAGGGAGCTCGCAACGAGTAAAATGCGTGGTAAATATCCCGTTATTATAAAAAATATTTGATTACATAATGTTAACAATGTTTTAGTTTGGGAGATTTAAAAATTAGGAAAATTGATGATCAGTTGATGATGATCAACCCTCAAATCACGCACACGCAGTAAGCGGGCGGCCATTTGCATGCTTCACTCGAGATTAGACGAGGTTACGTCCGTCTGTTTTTCAGGTCCGTGGTTCGCATATTATATTTTCCATGTTTCCCGTAAATAAACTATTTGATTTAGAAGGTTGTGCTTCTCACAGATGGCAAGACCACATTCATAATACCAGTGGAAGGTCGTAAGCACCACTTCGTAGTGGGTTTGGACAGGAAGGTGGTGGAAGTGCAGTGGTCTGGTGAAGACGATGCTGCCACCCTGCTGAGGACTGTGGCTGTGGTGGATGAACAATGTCCGAACAACAGGTTCAATGATGCTAAGGCTGATCCTAAAGGTAGACTGTTTGCTGGTGAGTATGCCATCATATGGATAAATAGTTATGATAAAATATAAGATCTGAACAATTAACTATAGTCCAGTCAATGAAGGCAAAAATCAGCTACAACCTCCGATTTCGTTGAACCTCCACCGATTTTCATGAAAATTGGTGAGTAGGTGGGGGATACCTTAAGAAACAAAAGTGACATAGTGCCAACTTGCGCTTTTGCCCTGGGGGTAGATGCCACTTCTTCCCGGGGGGTGAAAATTATTTTAATAAAATAACTAGAGAAATCGATAGAAAAATAAATTCTAAGCAAAATTTGATTTATAAAGATTTTGGAATAAATCAATACAACTGAGTTATTAAATAGGTACCAAAGATTGTGATTTTTCATGATAAAAATACATGTTTAAAGCGATTTTTCATACTCAAGAACTATGAGTTTGTACAAAAAATGTATTATTACCAAAATTAAAGCTAATAAAAAAATAGACAAACCCCTACTTTGAAAAACCTTCTAATATTAATTCAAAGTGAGCTATAGGAAATTGTATGTATATTTTTTTCGGCGAGAACTTAAATCTAAGTATTCAAACCTTAATAACGCGAAACCGATGCATTTTATGACATATACTTCCGGAACACTTTTTAAAGTCCTTGGAAATACCTTTCTAATGAGCACTGTAAAAAGTTAAAAGTATCAAAATTGAGCTAGTTATGATAAAAATAAGATGACACTTTTGAACTTTTTTGGAAAAAACGAAAAATAAAACCTTTACTATTTACACAAAAATTCAAATTAATGGTTATCCCTAAAGGACTTACTTATTTTAAGCATAAGTGACGACCTCAAAAATTTTGCCAGGTTTAAAACATGTATTTTTATCACGAAAATAACCAACCTTTGATCTTTAATAACTCAGAAAGTATTGATTTAATCTAAAAACTTTATATAACAAATTTTGCTTAGAATCTGTCTCACTATCGATTCCTCGAGTTGTTTTTATTAAAATAATTTTTACCCCCGAAAAGGGGTGGCATCTACCCCCAGGACAAAAGCTCAAGTTGGCAATATGACACTTTTGTTTCTCAAGGTATCCCCCACCTACTTACCAATTTTCATAAAAATCGATGGAGATTCAACGAAATCGGAGGTGAAAACCTTCATTGACTGGTCTACTAGCTGACACGCGAACTTCGTAAAGCTTCGAATAATTTGGAAGAAATAAAAGCTATCCGATCGGCAGAAAAACAACTTTTACCATAGTTGGCTGTTGACTGGAGGAATCATTTGTTGATTGATTGGTTTAGCAATGTAATTTTTATATGTACTGCGAGCTGATTTAATTATTATTAATCTAATTTGGTTCAGTCGTTCGGAAGTGATGCGCATACGTACTTCTCGATGATACATTTTTATATTTTTTGACGTCCTCCGTGGTCGAGTGGTTTGTACGCCGGATTTCAAGTTGTCGCTGACTCCAGAGGTCCCGGGTTTGAGTCTTCTAAACATATTTATAAATGTTGTAAATAAAGATGATTATGATTATGAATGTATCAGTATATGTATTCTATCCGTTACTCTAGTATCCCATAACACAAGCCTACCGTGATTACTTTGGGGCTAGGCTAATTGGTTTTTTTTTTATGCTGGAGTGTTGGTAATATTTATTGATTTTATTTTATTTAAATATATATGAGGATCTCGATGGCGCGGGTGGTAAGCGCGTTCGGCTGCGATCGTTGAAGTTATGCAACTTTCGCAGTGGTTGGTCATTGGATGGGTGACCAAAAATTAGTCAATCTATCTCCAGTTCCTCCGTGCTTCGGAAGGCACGTTAACCTGTTGGTCCCGGCTGCATCTGCAGTCGTTAGCACCCACTAATCCGCACTGGGCCCGCATGGTGGGTCATGGTCCGCACTCCCTGTTTCATCCATAGGGAAGGCCTGTGCCCCAGCATTGGGGACATTAATAGACTGATGATAATATGTATTCTATCCGTTACCCCAATATCCCATAACACAAGCCTACATATAGTACTTACTTTGTGGCTAGGCTAATTGGTGTGTGATGGCTTTTTTTCTGAATGGCTTCGCACGGCTTGTGCATTTAGCCAACGTCAAGTGTTAAAATGTTTACAAATTCTATAGCACTCGTGTTTAAAGTAATCAAGTCAAATTAAGTGGCAGTCAAGACAATCCCCCTTTCCCTACGTTTCAATAAAAGTGTGGGAATTTACATTAACCTCCCCGTGGTCTTCTTGAGGGAACGTCGAAAGACACTTTCCGCTATTCTGTTTCACTTGCCAACACTTGTGCATGTTCCCCAACACTTAGTGGTTAATAATCCACCATTATTATACACTAACACATCCGCCACAACACAATTTTTAACAAGAAAAACAAAACTGCTAAAGTGACGCTTCGCGATCCCGCCAAAAAGTCATTCTTGGAAATATTTATTTATTTTATTTATATATTTTTTTAAAAGGTACAATGGGCCATGAATACGAGCCTGGAAAGTTCGATATAAAGAAAGGCTCGCTGTACCGCATCGACCCTGAAGGCGGCGTCCATCGCCTCGTTTCCGACGTAGATATATCTAACGGACTGTGCTGGGACGAGGGGGGCCGCGCCTTCTACTACGCGGACTCGTTCGAGTACGCCATCAGGCGGTACGACTACGACGTCAACACTGGCAATATATGTGAGTTATTCATGTGTCACATCTTTCCTCTCGCTTTCGGGCAATAGGGTATTTGACAAGTTTTAGAAAACGATCTCACGTTACTAATGTTTATGGAGTCCGTAAAAAGTGGATTTTCATCATTCTGTTGTGTATTTCAGTTAAAAATAACCAAATCAAAAACTCCATTTTCAAGTTGCCGCGAAAACTTCTCTGGACAATATGGCGTCTTACTAGTGTGTGACGTCACACTACTGATATTAAAACGTCGAACGATACAATGTAATGTCACTTTAACCGGAAGTTTACTAGCGTGTGACGTCATTTTAGGCTCCGCCAATCCCAAGCGTTTGGGTCACGTGACAATAGATTAGAAAACTATTATCTTTTACGTTAGTGTAAAATTTTGAATATTTTTCTGTAAAAATAGTAAAAACCCCTGCCAATATTCATTCTAAACACAGATGCTAACAATTGGCACTTTATTTTTAACACTGTCAAATACCCTATTTGTGGGAGTGATTACGTGAAGTGGGACGGAAATGTGTAACAGGAAGTTTGGGAAGCGCGCGCCTATTTGATTTGATTATAGAACATAATGTTCGAATGGCTTATTCTTTTTGTAGTAGGTTTTATTTCTTTCATCATACGCGACTACTGTAAGGTATTCACGCACACCACTCATTAAATAAAACAAGTTTGAACAGTATAGATGCAATGATTAATTTATTTATTGATGTTTCGCATCCTTTTCAGGTTGCGTCGTCTGAATTATGATTTTATTTACTTTGTCGAGCTACCTTTGAAAGGCTTTTATTGAGCGTTCGGAAGATTTTTAAAACTTTATTGTCTATGTATCTATGGATTCATATTTATTAGCTAATTTAATTAATAAAGTACTTTATTTAATTATTTTTTATAATGTTGAGTTTATGTATTTATTTGACCCTAACTTCCAGTTCCAAAATTAGGAGACCTTCCTAAAAGAACAGGCGAAACAATCTCAGAGAGGCTTTCTATCTTCTTATGTTAAATCATGCAAACGAAGAGAACTTATAGTATCTGTTGGTCTTGCAGTGTGTGCTCGGGGTTGGGATTTTATCTCCTGTGTAATAGGTTCCCAAGCTGGTGGTACATACCAACCATCTTCCCTATTGAAATTTGGATATTTCTTAATCTCAATAGCTTGTATATCATCCTAGGAATGAATCGTTGTTCAGTTGCAAGGATCTGGTTTATCAAATCTAATGTGGTTTCAAATCAGAAACCAATATATCTTTATTCAAATTGGATGTAGTACAACTCTTTTGAATCGTCCAAAAATTTTTTTCCCTACCACTCGTTATGGACATATTTTTTAGCTGCGGAGAAAAACGAGCGAAAAACACTCCACAATATTAAAAGTCTAATGTAACAATATTTACAAAGTTGTTCCAACGTCAATACAATTATGATTTATTTAATATAGAAAACCTGTTGGAATGATTGGAACAATTCAAACCCAAGCATTTTTGTCTGCAATATAATCAGACACTTTGTAATAAGCTTTTTTAATAATTGCTTTTTTTATACTATCTTTCAATTTATTTATATGGTTAACTCTTGGATATTGCTTGGGACTTTATTGTATAAGCGAACACAGACCTTTTAATGAATTATTAATTTTGTGAAGCCTAGTAGCAGGTGAAGTTAGTTTATTTTTGTTTCTTGTATCAAGTGTGTGAACATCACTGTTTTTAAGAAACAAATTGATATTTTTTCTCACAAGTAATAAATTTTCGTATATGTGTTGTGCTGCGACCGTCATTATTCCAAATTCCGTAAACTTAGATTTGGTTTGGTCCCCCTATATGCCTGTCAAGTGCAATATACCCTTTCAAGTTGCTGGTGTCTACAAACTTAAATACGACTGAGGGCTCTCCTACATCGGGCAAACAAAGAGGAGTATAGGGACTCGGGTTAAAGAACATATCGCAGATATGAAACATAGGCGCGAAAATAAGTCTACAGAGTGTGAACATGCTTTATACCGTTGAAACTTGTATTATTTAATAAAGCCTGTTTAAAAGTGTCTGATGATATTTCAGACATTTTTTTATAATTAGGGTCACCCTTATGCCGGCACTTCACTTGGCTACTCGTATGTGCTATTTGTAAACTTGACATCAGTTTAAGAATAATATATATATATATGTCAAGTTTACGAATAGCGAATATGAATAGCCAAGTGAACTGTCAACGTTATAAATAGGCATTGTTTCTTGTTTGAGATCTATAAGGGATGTGGTTTCACTTCCATCAATCCTAGCATACATTTTTTTTTCTTTACGAATTTTCGAAAAATACTGAAATAACAAAAGTACTAAGTATTACTAGGTACTAAATATTAATACTTGTTATTTTTAAGCATGTAACTGCTAGATGTTTAAATCTAAATAAAGAACCAATTGTTGGCAACTGTATTTAATAATAATATTATTAGCATTTTTTCTATTCTGACAGATCAATAATTGATAACTTTTATAAAAAATCATTGAAAAAAAAAGATCTTTCTACACGGTTTTGGTCATATGACTAAAACTCCTTGCTTCGGCGAAGACTACCGTAAGACGTCACTAGCTAGCAAACTCACGGTTTAATTTTACATTACATTGTATCGTTTGACGTTTTAATGACAGTCGTGTGACGTCACAAACCAGTGAGACGCCATAATGTACAGCGTAACGTTTCCGCGGTAACTTTAAAATTGAATATTTGATTTCATTTTTTTTCTGAAATACACAAAAGAATGTTGAATATCTATTCATATGGACTCCAATAAAAAAAATGTGAGATAGTTTTATAAAACTCATCAAATACCCTATTCTGAAGAAAACTTTACTAGAATAAATTCCACGCGGACCAGACAGCAGACGAGACTCAAACGGGCGAATGCACTGACCATTATGCTACCGCGGCCCTGACGGCCGTGTCGAATTTTCTCTAGCCTTCCATAAGCTGCAAGGCAGCGCCATCTCTTCGCATTGTAGGTAACCCACAATGCCAAATAAGAAGAAATGTTGTAAAGTTATATTTTTTATTTTCTAGTAAAATTTTCTTTAGATTTAGAGATCTAGCAGTTATGTAACTCCTAAAGCATGTGCTTAAAAATATAACCTATTCTGCTTTTACTTAAAAATACAGTTCCAATTGTATAAGAATTAATTTGTTTTTTACCAGCCAACCCTGGTATTATGTTCAAGTACTCGGATCACGGCCTGAAGGGCATCGTGGACGGCATGAGCATCGACACGGACGGCAACCTCTGGGTCGCTAACTTCGACAACCACCAGGTAACCCGCTCATGCCGCTTCCTATATCTATACTTATAATAAATCTGTACAAATGTCAATTCTGTACATGAAATATATTTTTAAAATAACTATCAGGGGGTGATTAGTGATCGATACTGATGCCAAAAATGCAATCAGTAAAATTTTTGTCTGTCTGTCTGTCTGTGTGTATGTTCCTTATAGAAACAAAAACTACTCGACGGATTTTAACGAAACTTGGTACAATTATTCTTCATACTCCCGGGCAGGTTATAGTATACTTTTCATCACGCTACAATCAATAGCAGCAGAGTAGTGAAGGGAAATGTTGGGAAAACGGGAGAAGTTACTCCATTTTTAAGCTTCCGTCGCGGGTGCAGCCTTAACGGTTAAAGTTACATAGATATCATGTATGACGGAAATATTCTACATAAAATTGTCTGAAAAATATCCCGCAACAGTATATGTCTATCTTTTATGGTTAACTCACAATAACACTAATTATATAAATAAAGTCATTCTTTATAGCACAAGCCTGAGAACAAAAACTATAGTTTAAACTACAGCTCTACACCGAAGCGAAGCGAGGGCGGGCCACTAGTACTATATATAATGTTAACTATAAAAATAATTGTAACTTTATATTTATATTCTAAATGATGTAATGGAAAGTGACTTCAGACGTATTTCTGAAGTCATTTTTCAACTTTACGATACTGTATATAACAATACAGGGAGAAAAAACAGCCCTTGCTGAGTTTCTTGCTGGTTCTTCTCAGCACAAGGTCTCCCGCCGTAGATTTGCGAACCGATGGCGTAGCTTCTTGACCTTCACAAGTGCTTGTAACAGCCTAGACTGAATAAATGACTTTTCATTTCGTTTCACCAACGCCTTTCCTCTATATTTTCAATTTTTTTTTATTTAAATAAGACCAACAAGATATACACCAATACAAGATAACAAGTTACAAGCTTAGGCGATAATTAGATGCTATTGTAATTAAAGGTGCATGCATTACAAAGCAAGGCTTTGAACAATATAATAATCATAAGGAAAATCAATAAAAAGACGATAATATAAAAATACCATAAAATAAAAATAAATTGACTGTGTGTATGTGTGAGGAGCTCGATGGCGCAAGTGGTTAGCGCGTTCGGCTGCGATCGTTGAAGTTAAGCAACTTTCGCAGTGGTCGGTCATTGGATGGGTGACCAAAAATTACTATCTCGAGCTCCTCCGTGCTTCGGAAGGCACGTTAAGCCGTTGGTCCCGGCTGCATCTGCAGTCGTTAGCACCCACCAATCCGCACTGGGCCCGCGTGGTGGGTCATGGCCCGCACTCCCTATTCCATTCATAGGGAAGGCCTGTGCCCCAGCAGTGGGGACATTAATAGGCTGATGATGATGATGATGTGTGATGAATGAATGGTTTAATTTAAATTTGTTGATTGAGTAGTCGTACGTCCGGGAAAAGCAATACTGGTTTATGAGACACTGTTATACAGTTAAGATTATAAGGTATTTCTATTCATATAATAAATAAATAAAAAAAAAACTATACGTAATGTCTTATCTTCAAAATGACGTTAATAATATTATCATATCACAAAATTTCAAAATATATTTATAGGAATACAATTACAACATAACAAATGTGGAGACGAAAACTGAACATTCAGAAAGATTTAATAAGTTTATTTATTTTGTGTTTAAAAGAAATAGAACTACTAATAATAAATTATCTATTTTCACTCCAAATTACAAGTGTTCCCCCGAAAAAAACTGTTAATGCATTAATTGATTTTCTAATGTTAAGAGGAAATCGTTGACAGAAAATCTGGCACAGCCTAAAGGGGGCGCTTTAGGCACCCAAAGACAATTTTATATAATTTTGGGTCTCAATAGGGAACTAAAAACTATAACCATAAAAGATATTATATTACACAATAACTCTAATACAAAATTAAAGAAAGAGTGATATTGGTGTCGATTCTCTCTAAACCTAAACTTAAATTTGACAACAGTGCATCCTTGTCATTCTCTATACAGAATGAACAGGAGAGACTGATGTTAAATTTAGTTTTAAGTTTAGAGAACCATGCTAGAATCGACATATCGAATATATACTTACATTGGACCAAGATCTTGTTACACTTTTATGACATTGACAGGGGGGCGCTACTAGTGAAATAAAAATAATAAAAAAATGTGTGTGTCAGCTCCGACGCACGACTGGAGTTTACTCCTTAAATTCGATAGTCTAACCAGACGCAAAAAGAGTTTATTTAACTTAAAAAAGATTGATACTGTAAATGCCATATCCACGTTTACTTGTAAAGTTCAATGGTTTTGTGTTCAACGAATGGCGCGGTGGTACACGGATGCGGTTTCTTTGTCGTCGTAGGCAATGAAGGTACGTTACGATACTGTGCTACGGTGTAGCACTACGGCTGCTACAGCGTAGACAGCAAAAACGTAACGAGGTCATTCATCGACAGATTTTACTCCTCACATTTTTCTCATACCGGGCCCCTTATATATGCAAATCGATTCTTAAGGAGTAAACTCCAAAAAGGTACGTTGAAACTCCTAACTTAAGGAACGTTAGCATTTTCCACCTATAGGGAAGGTCTGTGCCCCAACAGTGGTGACATTAATAGGCTGATGATTAAGGTATACTTTAGAGTCATACTAAACTATCATGAATGGGTTATTGTTTTTTACTTCCCTTACAAATCTCCTCATCTACCTTATTAATTAACATTTTACTCATCATTCGCAGGTCATCAAGATAGACCCTAAAGCCGGCAAGATCCTGCAAACTATCAAGCTGCCGGCCCTACAAGTGACGTCACTAGTGTGGGGCGGTAAGGGTCTGGACGAACTGTACGTGACGACCGCTTGTTTGCACCGCCCGCCCGCCCCATGCCCCGCACCGCCTTCGGGCAGTACGTTCCGGATTACGGGATTGAACGCCCGGGGGCTGCCCAGCGTTAATGTAGTCTTAAATAAATGATTATATTATAAAAATTACCTCAAACATTGTACAGAATCATAAAAATAAATTAAATGTATTCACTATATAGAATTTGTTTTATTTTGCCACTGGTATTTAATGACTTAGTTCATGTAATTATTTTCGTAAATTCAATAAAAGCCATAGAAGGCTCGTTAAGCTATTGGTCACGGCTGCAACAGTCGCTAGCCATGGAATACGAAGATCATACATGATTACATACCATATCAATTTTACGTCAAAGAAAGAGGAGAGGTTAACCCTGGCATAATGAAATAGAACCATAGATATCATACGGTCAACCCACAGAGAGTACTTGCAATACTGAAAATGTCGTTGATGAACCGAATTTTTTTACGCTAATTATTATTAACGATCGTTATTTTAATAACGGTCACGACCACGGCCAGTGATCGCAACAGCCAGGTTTACTAAAGCAACCATACGAACGTCACGCACTTGGCCGCGATGGCAAACACTTTGGTCATCGTGGCCGTCTAGTGCGTCTGGTATCAGGTATATTATTCAATTGAACATTTTTGTTGGCAGCACTGTCTGAAAGTGTCAATGTCAAACTTGTTGTTGTTGAATAAAATAAGGAGTTTTTGGCGGGATTTCATCGAGTGCGGTTGGCGTCTTATTTTAATTATTCTTAAATTTGTTCATAGTGGATATTGTGAAATAAAATTGGTGTGATTTTGTGTTACAACCGTCTGCGCAACTGAAGAATTAGTGGAATCTTTAAAATATACGCTATTCCGGTCAAGTGGACGTGAGAATTTTATTGTAGTGTTGACTACCTCACAGAAGCTTATCGAAAAAGCCAACTCGATATATTTCGTGCCAAACACTCCAAGAAGCATTAGAATGCGTCACACCCACATTCTAATGTAAAAAAAGGAAGATTAATACAAAAATAAGACGATGGCTGCATGGCTATGCCTTTGCCTTTCTCAATAGAGAATAATAGAACTAAAAAAAAAATGAATAAAATAAGGTTTTTTTGGCGGGATTTCATCGAGTGCGGTTGGCGTCTTATTTTAATTATTCTTAAATTCGTTCATAGTGGATATTGTGAAATAAAATTGGTGTGGTTTTGTGTAACAACTGTCTGCGTAACTGAAGAATTAGCGGAATCATTAAAATATACGCTATTCCGGTCAAGTGGACGTGAGAATTTTATTGTAGTGTTGACTACCTCACAGAAGCTTATCGAAAAAGCCAACTCGATACATTTCGTGCCAAACACTCCAAGAAACATTAGAATGCGTCACACCGACATTCTAATGTAAAAATAAAAAGATTTTAATTAAAGACTAGGCTGTATGGGCATTGTTCCCTTTGCCTTCCCTAAAACGGGAGAACTTCAACAAAAAAAAAATGAATAAAATAATAAAAAATACTTGGTTTTTTTTGGCGGGATTTCATCGAGTGCGGTTGGCGTCTTATTTTAATTATTCTTAAATTCGTTCATAGTGGATATTGTGAAATAAAATTGGTGTGGTTTTGTGTAACAACTGTCTGCGTAACTGAAGACTTAGTGGAATCATTAAAATATACGCTATTCCGGTCAAGTGGACGTGAGAATTTTATTGTAGTGTTGACTACCTCACAGAAGCTTATCGAAAAAGCCAACTCGATACATTTCGTGCCAAACACTCCAAGAAACATTAGAATGCGTCACACCAACATTCTAATGTATAAACAAAAAGAAGATAAATTAAATTAAAGACCAGGCTGTATGGGCATTGTTCCCTTTGCCTTCCCTAGAACGGGAGAACTTCAACAAAAAAAAAAAAAAAAATACTTTTTTGAAGTTGTTTGAAAATTTTACTACTGCTATTGTGAGAATCAACAAAGTCAAAACATGGTATATACTTGTTTTGTGTGTAAGTGGAGAAGTGATAAAAATCCTCGAAGATCCTATCACAAGTAAGTTTTTAATTGCACTTTTTTTAGTGAGGTTTTCATTATACCTTACTGTCCTATTCAAAGATTTAACTTTTTTTATTAATAAAACATTAGTTACTGTAAAATGCGAGCTTCATATGATGTCCTACATGAATTAAAGACATCTGCATATACAGTATTTTGTTAAATATTTACTCTTAATATGTTTCAGATTTCCATCAAATGAAGAATTGAAGCTTAAATGGTTAGATATTTTGGGTAAAAGCAATGTCTCCGTCGGAAAACGCACTGCTTTGTGTTCTACACACTTTGAAGAACATTGTTTTCGTTATGGGTTAGTTAATGGTACAAGAATATTGAGAGATGGTAGCTTGCCAACACTAAATTTAACCACTTATTATACAAAAAAGAAAGCCAAGTATTCAACTAATGAAATAAAACCATCTGAATCTCAAGAGGAATGTTGTTCCCATACAAAACGTCCAATCACAGATGCAACCTCCGATAGTTGGCCAACTCTTTGCTTAACCACTATTAGTGTTGAAAATAAACCCATTGATACTGTTATTAAAACAGAACCACTTGAATCTGGTATGGAAAGTAATTCCCAAACAAAACATCCAAACACAGATGCAACCTTGGATAGCTGGCCAACTCCATGTTCAACAGAGAATAAAGCCTTGGATACCATTATTAAAATAGAACCTACTGATTCGCTAATGGATAGTAGTTCCCATGCAGGACAGTCAGTCAGAGATGCCACATCAAATAGCTGGCCAATGCTATGTGTAACCACTATTAATAAAGAAAATAAATCCATTGATTCAGTTGTTAAAATAGAACCAACAACTTCGGAACTGAATAGAGAAGAGAATCTAGTAAATCATTAAACTTTTGAATTTTTGTTCCAATGGTAATTTCTACACCATATAAGTCAGCCAAATTGAAATAATTATTGTCAAATTCATTTCGTACATATAAGAATTACTTTTTGGATACTCCCAAACCTAATATTTTTCTGGGATAAAAATATCTCTCAATCCATCAAACCATAATTATGTGTGCCAAACTTCATCCAAATCAGTTCAGTCTTTTTGGGTTTACATTGAGTAACTAATAATCAATCTTTAACATTTCTAACACATACTAGTAAAATAAAAATATAAGAATTATGAATGAAAGCAATTTTAAATACATATTGTGATTTTTCAAAGCTACAAGAAATTCTGCTTGGCTCAGAAATGATTTTTCTTCAAGTAAAGTTCTTTAGATTTATAAATTCAACCGATTGTTTCAGCAACTCACTTGAGGGACAGATTGCAAAGAAAAAAAGAACAAAGTTTGAGGAGAAAAATTTTGGTTTTGCAACATTCAGTTAATTGTTTGTTATGCTTACGAAATTCCAATTCTTAACTTAAGTCACAATTAAGAGAAATGAAAAATAGGCTAAATTGGTGTGAAGCTGAAAACAAAATGACACATAAGATTTTGAAGAAGGCATGACTTCAAATAAAAATCAAAATATATAAAAGTAATTTGCCTGGAATTAGTTAATCCTCAATATTGAAGAACGAATTTAGAGAAACCAAAAGTCTTAATAGGTAATTTTGAATGAAAATGCAATGAAGACTGATGTGATAGTACTATAAATGTATCAAGATGCGTTTCCACCAGTGTGCTGAACTGTGCAGCACTGCAATGCACATTGTGCGACAAAAATGTTTATTTTGGTCGACTTACTAAAGCAAACAAAAACAAATGGTGCACGAACATTCAGGAAATGTTTGGGCACATCTAATTCGCTTACCACACGCACAAGCTTCACCACAGTTTGGCCTGCGCAAGCATCTCGCACGAAAAAACTGTACACTTTGTGCGTTACCACATGGCACAGTTAAGTACGCGCAAGCTTCATTCTTATCGAAATCATTGGCGTGTAAACAATGAAGGAACATTTCTTATGCTACTATTTTTCAAGTTTTTGCTATTAAAAAAAATACAACGCAAAAGTCAAAATTAAGTGGACAAAAAAATAGCTGTTGAATAGAAAAATTCATACACATATTAATCCAATTAAGGATTTAAGAGATGATCCAAACGATTTTCGTAATTATATACGGATGGATTAAAATGCTTATGGTGAATTGTTACGTTTAATTTTCCAGAGTGCAGGCAGAGATTTGTATAAATTAATTAATTCAGACGTGAATTCGCGATTTACGCAAATCTGCCATTTTTGAGTGGTGATGACGAGCGACCTCATGAAACGACGAGCGAGCCTCGACACAAAGTACACTCGACTGTGGCTTGAACACTAAACGCCCAACCACACGCACAGACAAGTACGCGCAGGCAAAATTTCAAGCAAGTCGAAAAGTGCGCAGGCCGCGTGTGGGGTTGGCGCGTGATACAGTTTTACCAACTACACGCACCGTGTTCCGTGTACAAACCGGCCTGCGCAGGCAAAACTGTGGTGAAGCTCGTGCGTGTGGTAGGCCCATAAATACTTTACAAGAACTGCCGAGTTCAACTCGTCGGCCCATAAGAGAGGTAATTTGCGATTACAACGAAGAGAATTAGCAAACAATCTTGAATTTTGTGTTAAAAGTGACCGAAACATTTTAACCGATTGATGTGCTCGAGCTGTGGCTCTGAGTAAACGAAGCCACTTGCTGAATCGGCGATAGTCAGCGACCACCGTCGAAACAGCCTGCGATTCCGCCGAAGCAACAATTAATAGTTCTACTATTCCCGGAACGGTTCTTTTTTCGTTAGCGGTCGGAGGATCGCCAGAAAGCGGTTCGCTAGGCCAAGTACCTTCTGGTGAAAGAAGAAACTCTGGGCCAGAGAACCATCGCGAATCTATGGAAATCTTTTTTGTGTCGCGTGTAGCGTCGTCTGCGACGTTTTGGCCGGTAGGAACATATTTCCAACTTTGAATGTCAGTAAGCTCCGAAATTTCAGCTACGCGAAAGGACACGAATGGCTTAAATGTGCAGGCGTCGCTACGCAACCATTTGAGCACTGTAATTGAATCCGACCAGAGTACTGTTCTTAGAGGCTTCTTTTCGTGAGCTTCAACAATGTACACGGCGAAACGCGCGGCAATTAACGCTGCCTGGAGCTCCAATCTAGGCACAGTTGCTGGTCTCAGGAGCGCGAGCCTAGCCTTGCCTCCAATCAGCGCTAACTTTACTGAACCGTCCGATAGAGTAAAACGCCAGTAGGCGATGCAAGCGTATGCAAGTTCGCTTGCGTCGTAGAAGACGTGAAGTTGACTCTCGATAACTGTTGTGCCCTCCGAATAACATCTAGGGATAACATTCCCGGATAACTTTTGGAGTTCTCTGAACCACGACTTATATTTTAACGTTAAGCTATCTGATAACGTTTGATCCCATTCCAAACCTAATTTCCAGGTCCTTTGGAAAAGGATCCGACCTTTAATTATTAGAGGTGTGATTAAGCCTAGCGGGTCGTAAACCGACATCAGTAACGACAAGGCAGAACGTTTTGTGAGCGTTGGGGGAAACTTCGGAATGGATTTCAGGAAACACAAAGAGTCATCGCTGACGAGCCAAGTTAACCCCAAAACTCTAATGTATGAAGGAGAAGATGGACCTAACCCTACCTCGGAAGCATCAGTGGCGCGGAGGTCTGGAGGGATTAAGGTAAGAGCCTCAGCATGGTTGGAGACCCAAGATCGCATCTCGAATCCTGCTGCTTTGTGAACGGTCACGATCTCCGAAGATAAGCGAGCCGCCTCCTCTACACCATCGAGGCTACCAAGATAGTCGTCCATATAATGGTTTTCTATAATGAACTGTGCAGCCTTGGGATACGTGCATTGGAACTCGGAAGCATTTTTGTTTTTTAAGTAAAGCGCCGTACAAGGACTAGACGTAGCTCCGAAAATCATAGACGACATTCTATCTTCTAAAAGAGGTGACTGAGGGTCGTCTATCCAGAAGAAACGTTGAGCGTCCCGATCCTCAGGTCGAATCTTCACCTGTGGGAACATCTCCCGGATGTCAGCTGTTAGAGCGATTCTACCTTCCCGAAACCTCATAACGATCGCGAGTAACGGCTGGAGCAAGTCTGGACCCGATAAAAGCATGGAGTTCAGGCTCACTCCGTTACATTTTGCAGCCGCGTCGTGCACTACGCGTAGCTTCTTTTTATGTGGGTGAACGACGCCGAAATGCGGGAGGTACCATGTGATGTTACCGGTTGGTAATCCAGAGCAAAGTTCTGCGTATCCTTTGTCAATCATGCCGTGAATGTTTTGTTTGTAGGAAGCCGCGTAAGTTCCGTCTTTGACCATTATAGATTCGAGGTTGTAAAATCGGGATAATGCTAGGCGCTTACTATCTGGAATAGCGCTTATGTTGTTACGCCATAAAAGACCAGTCTGGAAACTACCAGAGGGTAAGCGCACCGTCGTCGCGTCTAAAATCTCAATAGCGCGCTTGTCGCTAGGGCTACGGTGTAGTTTCTTCTCTATCCCGATCGAATCTAGTATATAGTAATTTTTAACTACACGGTCTAACTGGTTATCAGAATCATCTAACTGGTTATCAGAATCGTCATTGACTTCGACATGATTGACAAATTCTACAGAATTAGCTCTGCTCCCTAAGAAACCGAAGAGAACCCAGCCTAACGGAGTAAGAGCAGCGGCGGGCTCATGCTTTGAACCTTGGCGTATGCTCTTACTCAAGAGAAGATGCCAATTGTCAGTTCCTATAAGGCACGTCGGTTGCGCGTTGTCGTAGGTGAGGACGTTAGCTAAATCGGAAAGGTGATCGAATTGTTGAACGTCAACGAAGCTAGCAGTTTGCGCACTAAGGTTGAGGTTTGGGATGGAACGAGCACGAATTTCAAAGGTATCGGAGCTATACCGACCACTCACCTTAATGTTTATAAAAGAAACGTCCGACAATTTGGTGAGACCTTCAATACAGTGTATCTTTAGTGGTTCTCTAGGGCCCTCGTCCTCAAGCGCGTTAGCCACGGATCTATCCAACAACGTCGCCGAGCTACCGTCATCTAATAACGCGAAGGTATCGACACTACCTTTTCGACCAGAAAGCGTCACGGGAATAATCTTAAGTAGCGGATGCTGCCTACTAACGATCGGAGCAGCGTTATGTGCTACAATGGCAGTTTGCTCGTTAGGTTGAGTGATGGGCCCCGGTGAATCGGACCTAGGCCTGTGCAGTAGTGTGTGATGTCCACGACTCGCTACGCAGCAATCTACTTCACATCTGATCTTACAGTTTCTATACTGATGAGAGCCCTTCCGTAAACATTTGCGACAATGTTTATTATCCATGATCCACTGCCAACGATCATCCAAGTTAAGCGATGTGAAACCTTTGCATTCGCTTATTTTATGTGCAGCGGCATGACAAAAATTACATGAATCGAAACTTTTTGGTTTACTAGACGAATATGACGAAACTGCATTTGGAAAATTTTTATCTTTGGTCTTGACAGGCTGACTTTGACTTTTGACAAAGTTTGACTCTGACGTGACAATGCCAAATTTATTTTGAGAACATGCTTCGTTCTCTAAAAATTCCGACAAAAGTTCTAATTTAAATTTGCCGGAGCCAACTCTTGCCGCCGCATAATCAGCCCACCTAGACCGAAGAAGCGGAGTCACTTTACTAATGATAGAGTTGGACAACTCTGGCGAAGCAAGATACTCTGGTTGTTGTAATAGGCGAACGAGATCGATGCAATTGCGGACGCGACCAGCAAATATATTTAAATCACGCGAGTTTTCATACAGACCGAGTTTAGGAAGAGCTCTCACGAGTGATAGTCGTTGAAGGATGATAACTTCGGGCTGTGCAAATCTCACCTCGAGGGCCTTCATCATCTGCTCCGGGTCATCGGCAACCACCAAACGCATAGCGACTGCTTCTTTAGCAGCGCCGCTCGCTCAGCGCTGCGCTAAGTCTTGTGACGTTTTCGCTGGCAGAGAAGTGCGCCTTGGACTGACTAAAAAGAAACCAGTCAACGACACGCCCATCGAATTTAGCTACGTCACAAACCTTTGTTGGCTTCTTCCCGAGGTCTGCGATAGCGTTGGCCAGCTGAATAAATTGTGTGCCTACATTCTGATCGCTAGTTTTATTTTGGTAGCAATTACAATACTTTTCATTTTTACGTGTGCCAAAACCTATCAAATGTTGTGTTGTTGGGTCAGCTGGCTCAACTGGTGCTGGCTGCGAGCAGGAAATGACCGGCCGTTCCGTGTAGGCTCCATCCGCAACTGGTGCTGGCTGCGAGCAGGAAATGACCGGCCGTTCCGTGTAGGCTCCATCCGCAACTGGTGCTGGCTGCGAGCAGGAAATGACCGGCCGTTCCGTGTAGGCTCCATCCGCAACTGGTGCTGGCTGCGAGCAGGAAATGACCGGCCGTTCCGTGTAGGCTCCATCCGCAACTGGTGCTGGCTGCGAGCAGGAAATGACCGGCCGTTCCGTGTAGGCTCCATCCGCAACTGGTGCTGGCTGCGAGCAGGAAATGACCGACCGTTCCGTGTAGGCTCCATCCGCAACTGGTGCTGGCTGCGAGCAGGAAATGACCGACCGTTCCGTGTAGGCTCCATCCGCAACTGGTGCTGGCTGCGAGCAGGAAATGACCGGCCGTTCCGTGTAGGCTCCATCCGCAACTGGTGCTGGCTGCGAGCAGGAAATGACCGGCCGTTCCGTGTAGGCTCCATCCGCAACTGGTGCTGGCTGCGAGCAGGAAATGACCGACCGTTCCGTGTAGGCTCCATCCGCAGTGTTGGGTGGCGCTGACCACTGCAATGGTTGTGGCTTAACGTTCAAAACCTGTTCCCTGTCGAGCAATATATCAGCGTTATTGTCTATACTAAAAGGAGACTGCGCTAACCAATGCTCTACTCGTTGCGAGTTAGAGCTGCCATGTGACCTATTAGATCGCTGTGTGGAGCCGGCTTCAATGGCAGCTAGCGCGGCCTGCAGTTTCAGGTCGGCTACCGCGCGCTCACGCTCTGCTCGGGCTCGGTCGCGCTCTGCTTGAGCGGCTTGTTGGGCACGCTCCCGATCAGCTTGAGCACGGTCGCGCTCTGCATCGACCTCCGCCAATCTACGGGCGTGGTCCGCTTTTGCAGCTAATATCTGAGCCTTAATAGTGCTGCTAGAGCGATTAGAACGGGCACTTTTGGAACTAGTGGCTATAGAATCTACCATACTCAACGCTGGCGAGGGTTCACCGGTTGCTGTATAGGGGCCGATCCATAGCTGCAGGTGGCACTGCCGACTTGGCGGCTTTAGCTTACGTTCTTGTCAGAGGCATTATCTAATAATTTACGATTTT